GCGCTTGTGTTTTATTGGAGAAAAATCCTAATGGACTCTTGAAACTACGGTGAGTCAACCCTGTCTTAAAAACTGATGAGACTGTTTATAAGCAGGCTCACTCAGTCCTTTTCTTCTTCGTTATTTTCTTTTCCGTCCTTTTCTTCTCCATCCTTTTTTTCTCCGTCCTTTTCTTCTCCGTCCTTTTCTTCTCTGTCCTTTTCTTCTCCGTCCTTTTCTTCTCTGTCCTTTTCTTTTCCGTCCTTTTCTTCTCCGTCCTTTTCTTCTCCGTCCTTTTCTTTTCCGTCCTTTTCTTCTCCATCCTTTTCTTTTCCGTCCTTTTCTTCTCCGTCCTTTTCTTCTCCATCCTTTTCTTCTCCATCCTTTTCTTCTCCGTCCTTTTCTTCTCCGTCCTTTTCTTCTCTGTCCTTTTCTTTTCCGTCCTTTTCTTCTCCGTCCTTTCTCTGTCATTTTCTTTTCCGCCCTTTTCTTCTCCGCCCTTTTCTTCTTCGTCCTTTTCTTCTCTGTCCTTTTCTTTTCCGTCCTTTTCTTCTCCGTCCTTTTCTTCTCTGTCATTTTCTTTTCCGCCCTTTTCTTCTCCGCCCTTTTCTTCTTCGTCCTTTTCTTCTCTGTCCTTTTCTTTTCCGCCCTTTTCTTCTCCATCCTTTTCTTCTCCGTCCTTTTCTTCTCTGTCCTTTTCTTTTCCGCCCTTTTCTCCTCCGTCCTTTTCTTCTCCGTCCTTTTCTTCTCTGTCATTTTTTTCCGTCCTCTTCTTCTCTGTCCTTGTCTTCTTCGTTCTTTTCTTTTCCGTCCTTTTCTTCTCTGTCCTTTTCTTCTTCGTTTTTTTCTTCTCCGTCCTTTTCTTCTCCGTCCTTTTCTTCTCCGTCCTTTTCTTCTCCGTCTTTTTCTTCTCTACTCTTTAACATATCGGCACCTGTAATGTAATATTTCTAAAAATGTTTGAGTATAATACAATTATATATTTGGGTTTATATCATCTTTACAGCCTTTTTGTTTTGTTTTTATGTTTTTTATCTCTGATTTTCATTGCTGGTGAGGGGGGGGGGTGACACCTGGGGATACGGGAATCCCCAACTTCACTGTTCTCTAAATCCTTTAAATCCTTTTTATGTGTAAAATACAGCAAAACGTTCCTTTGAAAGTAAGCTCTGCAGTCTGCAGATCCCTGAAAAGTAAATAAAGGAGTAAAAAGCTTGTATAATTAATACTTTTCCTATACTTCTAGTATTCTACACATAAGAAGTGAAGGATAGAAAAGGAACTGCGGATACATCTTTAATATATATCCTTGACCTTCTTGGTATTAAATCTATATAATCTTTCTCAAGGTATAATACTGCATTGGACGTTCTTATTTCTTGACAGCGGGAACAAATATTCATATTAAATATACTGAGGAGCGGGCACAAATATTCATTTTACATACTGGGCAGCGGGCACAAATATTCTTAAAAAACAAATATTGATATTATACATATTGAGGAGCGGACACAAATATTCATATTAAACAAACTTAAAAGCGGGCACAGATATTGATATTATTCATATTGAGGAGCGGGTAAAAATATTTATATTAAACATCCAGGACAGAGGGCACAAATATTGATATTATACATATTGAGGAGCAGGCAAAAATATTTATATTAAACATCCAGGACAGAGGGCACAAATATTCATATTAAACATACTGGACAGCGGGCACAAATATTCATATTGAACAAACTGGGCAAGGGGGCACAAAAATTCATATTACACATACTGAGGAGAGGGCACAAATATTCATATTAAACATACTGAGGAGGGGGCACAAATATTCATATTAAACATACTAAGGAGGGGGCACAAATATTAATATTGGACATACTGGACAGAGAGCACAAATATTCCTTTTATAAATACTGGATAGTGGGCATAAATATTTTTTTTTAAACATACGTACTGGTCAGCGGGCACAAATATCCATATCACAAATATTCATATTATACATATTGAAGAGAGGGCACAAATATTCATATTATACATAATTGAGAAGTGGGCACAAATATTCATATTATATATATTGAGGAGTGGGCACAAATATTCTTAATATATATATATTGAGAAGTGGGCACAAATATTCATATTATAATATTGAGGAGTGGGCACAAATATTCATATATATATTGAGGAGTGGGCACAAATATTCATATTATATATATTTAGGAGTGGGCACAAATATTCATATTATACATATTTAGGAGTGCGCACAAATATTCATATTATATATATTGAGGAGTGGGCACAAATTTTCATATTATATATATTGAGGAGTGGGCACAAATATTCATATTATACATATTGAGGAGTGGGCACACATATTCATATTAAACATCCAGGACAGAGGGCACAAATATTTATATTGAATATACTCGGCAGGGGGCACAATTAAATGCTCTTAGACATGATATTTGTTGTTGTATCTGGATTCTCGACAAAATTCCCAGAATGCTGCAGTCAAAGGAGTTCTTTAATGATCTTAACTTGAACTGTGAAATTATCCAGGAATATAAAAAACACAAGTTGCAAAGCTTTAACAAATCGTAAAGATTTTAGATTATTTTTTTTAAACTACAATGCACAAATTCTTTTATAAACTTATATATCTTTATACTTATCCGATAAAAATAACCTAAATAACCTCAGTTGATAGTTATAGATACAGATAATTTGCATATCGTTGGAGAATGAGCTAACCTAATTTTTATATACAGGGTGTCCCAAAAAACATGGGAATTCAGTGACGAATTGGAAATCGTCTTTGTTATGAATTATAGCATTGTAATACCTATAATTTCAAAAGCCATAATATTATTATGTCTGCTAGAGTTTAGTTTATGAAAAGGGTAAAAGACTGCAAAGATGTGTCTATAATGTTTCCGCAAGATGAACAGTGAAGACAAGTTTACTCTGTTTGTATACTGCAATTTTCTTGTTTTACTAAGTACACCCTTATGCATAAACATAAACAAACAAAATGTGGACATAGCAGACGAAACTCACAGAGTGCAGCTTTCTCAGTAGGTATCACTATACTAAATCAAAGAATTATTTGAAAAGACGATATTGAATTCGTCACTGAATTCCCATATTTTTTGGGACACCCTGTACATACAGGATGTTCTTCAAAATTCATTTGTCTCTCTTTATTCAATTCATATCCTTTGGCTTTAAAGAGAGTTTTAATTATATGGAATTCTGATTGATCCAAATTAATCAAATATTTTTGTAATAATTCGACATTACATAGCTCTACTCTACTTCTCTTAAACTCAACTTATTGAAAAATGCAAAACATGAAGACGACATTTTCCTTTTAAATACGACGTTCACTTACCTTGTCATATTCCGTAGAAAGGTTGTTATAAAAGAACATACCACAAAGGGGCAAAAGTAGGGGGGGGGGGGGGTTGCCTGTGCTTAGCTGTCTCCGGAAAATAATTTCCCGGGAACAGGGAAAAAAATTATCAACCTAAGTGGAAACAGGACAAATCAAAGAATAATCAACCTAAGCAAACAGGAGAAATTAAAGAATAATCATCTAAGGAAACAGGGAAAAGAATTATCAACGGGAGAAACAGTTACAGAAAAGTCTAAAAAGAATAATCAACCAAGGAAACAGGGAAAAAGAATTAAACAAGGAAACAGGGAAAAAAATAATCATCCAAGGAAACAGGGAAAAAAATCAACCAAGGAAACAGAGAAAAATAATAATCAACTAAGGAAACAGGGGAAAAAATAATCAATCAGGGAAAAAGGATAAAGAATAATTAAGCAAGGAAAAATAGGGAAACGAAATATGCAACCAGGAAAACAAGGAATAATAATTATGGGACCTGTTTAATATTTATATGTTTAAGCTAATGTCAACCGAGGAAACAAGGAAACTTATAATTATGGGCTCTGTTTAGTGTATGTTAATGGATAATGGGTGCTGAATTTTTATCTGATTATTTATTTTATCTGAATATTGTGGAAACACCGAATCAAATTGCATAAAATTAAGTTCAAAAGAATATAATTACTCGTTGAGGCCATCTATATATACTATGATTGGGTGTCAGTTTGATTGTGTGTATCCAATAAACGTCTAAACGCCTGAGCCTATCGGGCCCAAATTTTGTGTGGGACATCAATTGAAAGGTTCATGGATGATCAAAATTTAAACAAAGGTCTATTTTCATTGAAAAATCCGCGAAATTTTGTTTGTTTTTGTTTTACAATGTATACAAAGAGAAAATATTTACAATTAAAATAGAAGATGGGCGCAAAGCGCCCTAAAATCCTAGTGTTATTATAGTTTAGTTAAATTATATGTCTATGAATGAAACAAGTTTTTCTGAATAAACAAATATCAATATTGTAACGGCAGAGATATTTAATAGTATACGACATTACAATATTGGAAGCTGCGGGCTATTTTTCCAAGAATAATAAATAATAAAAACATTCAAAAGAATAATTTTTATCATCGAATCCAAATTATTTAACATGCAAAGCATTCAACACTAAACATTCTGTACTCAACACGTTACACTCTACAATCTACTCTCTTTGATAACTCTTGCCCAAAACTTAACAAACTTTTTCTTAACTTTACAATTCACACATTACGTACCACACTCTACAATTTAGCTATAATTTTCACTCCAAACTATACACTTTCTAGCCTACACTCCAAACTACAGGGTGCCCCAATAAGCATGGGAATTAAGTGACTTTTATATCCTCTTCGATCAATGCCGCATTTTTTCATGAACACAATTATTAGAGTATTTCAGTTTAAACATTTGATATTGAACAATCCTGGTCTTGAGATTTTCAAAATGTGGTCTATCATTTTTGTATCTTTAAAATTGACGGAAATATTGCAAAATTTGTGCAAATTTCAATTTTATCTAATAAATCAAAATTGACTTAATATCAAATATCTTCGCCATTTTTTAAGAAACAAGTATATTAGTATATAAAGTGATTAGCATTCAGCCTTTACCCCCTTTCATTTTTCCTTTACAGTCCCTTTAAACACCCCTGGCTATATATATATATTCAATATGGGAAAAAAGTCCTTTTAATGAAAACTTCTCAGACTTAACCTCCTTAACCTTATTTTCCAAATTTCACATGGAAAAATTTTAAATATATTTATTACATATGTATATATTTATCACGAGTTTAGTTAGGATTTTCTTTTTCATATTACTTAAGAATATAAAAATAGCCCTGTATATGATGTACATAGTACACTTGTACGGAGGATTTTATACACAACTTTTCTTAGGACTTTTTTCCGCAGACTTAAATTACTGAGTTCAAATTTCCCGAGACTTAGGACTTTTTTTCTAGGTTTTTCTTTTCCTCGGATTTATTTTCTTCGGGACTTTTTTTTCCTGAGACTTTTTAATGAAAGGACTTTTTTCCACAGGACTTTTTCAGTGTGAAATTTTAGGACTTTTTCCCGGAAACTTTTTTTCCAAGGACTTTTTTGGCGGTTATCAATGACGGTACATACATTGTACACTGTACTGTACTTTATACTGAGTAGTGAGTATCTTTATCTACGCACCTATATCTTTATTAAACATAGACCTTTATCTACGCACCTATATCTTTATTAAACATAGACCTTTATCTACGCACCTATATCTTTATTAAACATAGACCTTTATCTACGCACCTATATCTTTATTAAACATAGACCTTTATCTACGCACCTATATCTTTATTAAACATAGACCTTTATCTACGCACCTANTGGGGGCTGAGCATGAAACAGAGAAACAGTGAAAAAATGCTAGGTTACATTTTTTTATATATTCTTAAAAATTCTATTTTTCGACTGAGTTAGATAAATGATTTAATATTTGATTGAATTTATATGAAACATTTTCCGAAATTCTCAATAGTGTGATATCTTGCAATTATATTAAACATCGAAAGAACAAAGACAAACAAAAATTGTCAACCTTTAAGTAAATTTTGTCTCTAATTATAAACATATGAGAATAAAATTGCGTTTACAAATCATAATCTGCAAATTAATGAAAACTAGTCGACAGTTTTTATCAGTTGGTCTTCAACCAGCTCATTGAGTCATTTATAACCTGATGGAATTCAGGGCTACCAATTGAGTGCCAAATATAGGAGGAATACGATTCAAGGACAAAATTCAAATGGGGGGTCCGACTAAAAATCTAAGGGGGGTCATTTGGGATAAATTACAACCTTAAACTTGGTGATATTTCATGTGAGACAACCTTAAAGGAAAAATGTTCCACTGTCTGTTTTTTTAGTAAAATGTAGTAAATTAAATATTTTAATAAAATTCAGAAAATTCAGTGCGTTCAAAGTTTGAAATGATAATCTAATATAATTTATCCATATGTTAACAAGTTATATTGAAATGAGAAAAAGGGTTATAGTTTAAATTTACACGCTACACAATTGAGTTACAGTAAAAAAAAAGATAGAAACTTTAATATTTTATATCAGAACTTTACTTTTTTAAATTCAATTCTTAAGAAACTTTTTTATTCAAATTCATAATCAAAGTCCCAAAATGATATTGAAACTACTACAAGGTCCAAAAATTAATTAAAAAAGCGAAACCTATAGAAACCTACCCAAACAAAAGGCAAATATTAAAGGTTGATTCTTATAAAACAACCCGTTCCTGCTTCCCCCTTTTCTCTTCCACATTTCTTCCCTCCATTTTTTATTTCTCTCCATCCCCCCTCCACCTCTTCCCTCTCTCCCCTCTCCCCCCTCCACCCCTTCCCTCTCTCCCCTCTCCCACCAACCATGTTTCTAGGTCTGGAAGGAATTAAGGGATCTGACTTCATCCTTTTAATTAATGGCGGATGCGGATACTTTTCTTTATCTAGATCTATTTCAGGGAACAAGTTAACCCGGCGCTTAATTAACTGTAACTTCTAATTATAAAACGTGTCTTTCGATGTTTAGAAATGATTAATTGATTGAACGGTTTCAGTCATTTTATATTCTGTTTGAATTGATCTAGGTCAATCAATTAATCAATCAGTAAATAATTATATTCATTTTTTTTCATTTGTTTCTCTCTCTGACTGTTTATCTATCTATTTATCTGAATAACTTTTATCTATCTATCTATCTATCTATCTATCTATCTATCTATCTATCTATCTATCTATCTAAATATCTATCTATCTATCTATCTATTTATCTCTCTATCTATCTGTCTGTCTGTCTATTATCCGAGACCCTGAACTGAAGCATTTAACCTAAATCTGCATATATTCAAATGAAGTCTAATAAAAACAATTAAATGTTAAACTGAAATTTCAACTTCTTTAAAACTTAGATTTAGAGCAAGGAGATTGATAGATAGATAGAGCTGATCTATAAATTGTATGAACTAGATAGATAGATAGTCTATTGCCTAATAAAGATCAATATAAGGTTCCGACAATCTTCTTTTTTTAAAATTAATTGATTGTAGACTTTGCAGATTAATCCACCTGTACAATATATATATAGATCGTTCACTGAACCATTGAGCAGGGTATATTTTCATCTTTTTAATTGTCAATCGTAAAATAATTTTAAGGCTGGAGGCTTGAATTTTCTAATTATATGTGCATACAAAGCGGCCTAAAAAAACTGTTATTGTAGGGTAAAAAACATTAAATTTTGTTTAGAAATGTTCTATATGATGATTAGATTTTAATAATTCTATATGAGACGGCTTTGGCGGCCTAACAACCGTTATTGGGGGTTTTAGGGAAAACTGTATTTACCTTTATTGGGTTCACCCTGTATATGTTTTTAAAAATGTAATCTTAAATTGTAAATATGTAAAATTAAATATTTTTTGCAACGCTTCTGATTGCATTGGATATAAAAAAAACGTGACCCAAATGAAATGACTTTAGCTTAAAAGTGAAACAAATTTGTAAAAATTTGGTCGTTCACCCCTTTATTATTTTTTGGTTATTTACCCTCCCCCCCTTTTCCTTTTTGGTTATTTATCCTCTCCCCCCTCCCATCTAGCTGTATCGTGTGAAGAGAAGGATAATACTAGAGGAAGGGTCTAGTATAGAATACAGGACTAGGTGTTTAGTGTCAATTAACAACCAAACCTGTAACTTCTGTATTTGGTCAGAATACGTCAAGAATACGATCAAAATATATTAAGAAATTTTTAACAGATTTTATCCTCATGCATACATAATCCTTATAAACTCAAAACTAAAGAATAACTTAGATCAAAAAAAGTTTTTTTATGTATTCCCGTTTAAAGTTCAGAATAAAATTGGTTAAGCGCTTAATTTTCGGCGTGAGAGCATTTTTAAACAATTTTCTCG